AATTTGACTTAGCAATAACTAATCTAGCAAAGGGGCCTTCATTAGGAATGCAGGTTGAGGGATCTGTTTCTGCTTTCCTGTCTCTTAGCAATCTGAAGCAGAAGATAAGTGCTGAACTTAAGTAAGATAAAAACACTTGGTAGCATCATTTCCATGCCTGGATTTGTTAAGCAAAGTTTTTTTTTTAAAGGTGAATATTGTGTGTTTAGGATCTCCATCACCGTCTCCATTGAGTGTGAGGTCAATAACTGGAAGGCTACAGCAGCAGCCCAGACATGAAGGCAGAAGGAAACTCTCATTCATTTTGGTGTTGATTTGTTCCATGTAATTATACTACATATTCTTGCTTCTGTGAGATTACTTGCCTTGCAAAATAAATATTTATTTAGCACTTTCACCTTGCAGGCAATGCTATCATTCTTCTTTTAATTACTATGCAGCTTTTAATAATGATGGGTAGCACTTGGCATGCTTCTTCTAAATTCACAGCACTTTGTAAATGTGGAAGCTGGTTATCAGTCATTGACTTTCTATATTAAAACAAGAGGAACTGGGAAGAAAAGACTCTGGGAACTTTTTTTTCTCTGAATTTTCTAAAGATTAAAATAATTTTTATATAAATAATATTAATAAACCCCCCCTTTCTATATATTTGTCTGAGAGCAGGTAACAGAATCCTTGGTTTACACTGGAAGTCAAAATTATTTCCATAGAGAACTCTTTTTAATTTCAACATATACAGACATTCAAAATTGCAATCAGTGTCTAAGCCACCTTTACACCCTGTACAAATCAAGCCAGCTCAGACAGCAGGATCTCAACTCAATCAGCAATATGCAAATTCTTGGTTTGGACTAATGTGCATTTCTGTCCAGCCCCATCAGCCCCCCAGTCCCAATATTCCAAACTCTGCCAAAAGCAAGGGTAAACAGGAATCTGAAGGTTGGGAAAGGAGAATCTGTGGACATGGAGGAAAAAAAAAAAAAACCAAACAAGAAAACAAACCAACAACCAAACAAAAAAACCCAAAAAAACCACAAACAAACAAAAGCAAGGAAACAAACAAACAAACAAACATAAAGCTCCAGAACCCCCTAATCTCAGAGCCCTAATGACTTGCCTCCCCTTTATAAAACTCTTGTACATAGAGTACAAGACTTTGATGGATGACAAAGGCATTGCAATTCAGTCACATGAAATCTGGCAACCTGTGACAATCCAAGCAAACAATTTCTTGGTTCTACAGAAGCCTGGTTTCCATTTACTTTACTTGGACAAACAACTCATGAGAGAGGGGCACCATGTAATGCCCATTGACTCTCAATAGTGGCCCAATAGTGGCTCAGGAATTTAGGAATGAATTTATAATCTGCTGCTGCTGTTCAAGGTACCATTTGCAGTGCAAAGGAGTTAGAGCAGGTAGCCACTGTAAGCATGATCCCAATGCCAACTATAACCTCTACCCATTAAAAAAATAATAATAGAATATGAAACTATTCTGAAAGTGTTGCAATCCCTCTGCTTTGTACCATTCCCTAACAATTCCTGATCATTGACTTGTTCAGCCCTTGACTGATGCCTGGATATGATGTATAGATAGAATCATAGCCATTAAGACTTGAAAAGACCTCAGAGATTGTCAAGTTCAACTTCCAACTCAGCATTGCCAAGTCCACCACTAAACCACATACCCGAGTGCCATATTTATACATCTTTCAGTATCTCCAGGGATGGTGACTCCACAACTTCCCTGGCCAATCTATTCCAATGCTTAACTACTCTTTCAGTGAAGATTTTTTTCATTTGACCCAATCTAAGCCTACCTTGGTGCAATTTGAGACTGCTTCCTCTTGTCCTATTGCTTTTTATTTGGGAGAAGAGACCAACCCTCACCTGGCTACAATCTCCTTTCTGGGAGTTTGTAGAGAGCAATACATCTCCCCCGACCCTTTTCTCCAGACTAAAATACCTCCTCAAACCAGTGCTACTCTCCGCACCGTAGGAAATTATTTTTCCAGGAGAATGTTGTGAGAAATACTGTGAAAACCTTTAATGAAGTCCAGGTAAACAGCACTGACAGCCTTTTTCTCAGTCCCTAAGAAGGTCACCTTGTCTTAGAAGGATGTCAGGCTGGTCAAGCAGGACCTGTCTTTCTTAAACCCACACTGGCTGGACCTGATCTCCTGGTAGCCCCACAAATGGCAATGTTGTGCCACTCAAGGTGGTCTGCTCCATGCCCTTCCCTGGCACTGAAGTCAGGCTGACATGCCTGGGGTTCCCCAGAGCCTCCTTCCAGCCTTTCCTTTAGAAGGCCAGAATATTTGCTAGCTTCCAATCAGCCTGGGACCTCCCCAGCTGACCAGGACTGCTGGTGAATGATGGAAGATGGACTGGTGAGAACTGGTTTCCTCAGTACCCTTGGGTGGATTCCAGCTGGCTCCACAGACTGTGTAAGTGTTGTAGCAGGTCACTGACCATTTCCCCATGGGTCACAGGGCTTCCAGTTCAGGGGTTGCAGACTTGGAGAACCAGTTTTTTCTATTAAAGGCTGAGCAAAGGTGGCACAAAACATCTCAGCCTTTTTTTCTATTCCTTTATCATTATATTTACCCCTTCGTCAAATGAAATAGACATTCTTCTTAACCCTCCTGTTGCTAAAAGAAAACAATATTTCTATAGAAATTTTGATAACAAAACAACAGTGAAGCAATCATCAAAATGTCTCATAAAGCTGAAGAATATTGGGTAATTGTCCTTACAACTTTTTTCTTGGCTTCATAAATATTGAATAACTATGGATTTACCCAGCAGCCAACATCCATGAGTAATTTGCACAGGTTCTGTTTTATTAGTAGTTTTGCATGCAATCACACATATTACGAGGTAACACAACCAGAAGTCCTCTGAATCTTTCATGTGTTTCTATTAACTGATGCCACAACAAATTCGGTTCCACACATCTGTGGTGCAACTGTATTTCTAACATTTTATGAACAATAGACTCTCTTAAAATAAGCTTTGCAGACTGATGCCAGGTTGCCAACTGATTCTGCATCTGTTTCCTGTGAAATAAAAGGGCAGGAAAAAGAAAAATTCATGTGTCGCACAATGGTTTTTTATTATTCCCCAGCTTTTAAAAATTTCTTTTACTTCAGCCATCATTAGATCTCACAGACAAACTCGGGAGTAAAGGAACTTGATTTTCCTACATAAAATTTGTTAATTTCACTACAAACACATCTGTGCACCAAGGAAATCTCATCTAAGTGACATAACACTTTGTTGTCTTCTTATTTCCTTTTGTTAAGTGAAGGGAAATTGGTCTTTTTTGCCTTGTTTTTTTGGTGGGTATTTTTTAATGTGCAGTAGTATTAAACACCAACTTTGTGTAACCACCAAGATCCTGTTGTGGTAGCCCAGGTTCCCCTTGTGCAAGGCAATGAAAAAAACAACAAATAAGAGGAATATTCTTCATTACAAAATCTGACACCTTTCTATGTGAATGGGCTTTCCAAATGTGTAGTCTCAGCCAACCAGAGACCAGCATGAATTTACCTGGGGGTATGATTTCATTTATGGTTTTCTAAGAGCATGGCAATCTGATTTCCTAAATTAGAGATGTAGTTTGTGGGGGATTGAGCTCCCACAATCCCAGAGGTTCAGAATGTCAAAATCTAGTCTGAGAAAGAACTCAGGTTCCTATTGTAGCTACAAAGCAGAGTGAATGCTGCTCCAGCTGACCCATATGTGCTTGCACCAATACAGGCTGAATCCTATCAAAAACGTCAATGGTAATATTGGCCAGGCTTCCATACAATGCTAAGGGGGGAAAAAAGCCACTGATTCTACAAAATGTAGACACCTGTACTCTAGACTCTAACATTTAGCCGGGAAATTTTTTGTCTTTATACCTGTAGCTGTATTCAGAGCTGATACTTTATGCATTCAATTACAAGTTACATACATACAATAAAGACATTTTCATTACTGCAAATCATCTACAAATACCTGCAAAAGCAATTTAGCATACTGTTGTGAAGTAAATGTCGTTTCCTAGCCTCTGCTATCACCTGTTCAAGAAAATAGCAAATATTCTCTAACTTGAACAAAGTTCACGGAATCAAGCCTTCATTAGAAGGATGTGTGACACAAATAAAATACTTTACATGGGTATTATTAGCTATTGGTAAGTTTTTAAGCATAATCTGGGATTGGGCCATTATTGTGATTCCTTTTACTGTTGGTCAGTATTTAAGATGTGTAAGAACTTTGGTTAAATGTTTGAGGTTTCTTTTAGCGTGTCTGTAGTAAAATAATAACTGAATATCTGCCCAAATGCTGCCCAAAAATACATGTGGAGGAAACAGCAAAAATCTTAAAGCGTGTGTTTTAATTGAAAATGAGAAAAAGGATTGTTTAGGGCAAAACTACTGGAACTGTATATGGGGTTTTTTTACAATCAATAATGCTAACCCTGTCAGGACAAAAATAAGTTTTCAAACCAAGACTTGCAAAAGGAAAAATGGAATTTAGTAATTTATCTAAAATGCTTTAGACCTTAAAAGTCAAGTTCAAATTATATGTTTGCCATGTAAGCATTTTTAACCCATATGCATGCAGGGAACCACATCAGCTATGCTCATACAAGAAAAATACCATCAGAAGAGTCAGAATGGACTTTGATTTGTTTTGCTATTTCTTTCTTTTTATTTGTGAGTTTCAGGTGCAAATATGTATCCTCCTATTTATTTTTTTCTTCTACGGGTTTTCATAGATTATATTTAAGGTGTTTGGAAAGGTCCTCATTAATGCTCTTCTGAAAAAATATAGCATCCCATCAATATTCTACTTGGTATTAAGGTAAACCAGAACAGAATAATCTTAACTTCACATTTTGTTCATCATCATTCAACATCTTTTCAGCAGGGGAGGAACATCTCAGGAGCTACTGGGAGAAATTCCCTTGTTTTTGGACCAGGGAGCCAGTCCCTTTTACTCACCATGGCCTCCAGAGGCAGGTCTCTCTGAAGAAGTGCTAAATGCATGAACAACACGATTTTCCTTTTAGGCAGAATGCCTGGAAAGTGGAATTGTCATTAACATGAAATTGCTTCGACCAGCACTTAAGCTCAATAGGCTAATATTTAAAACATTAACTACAGGCTTCCAGCTGAGCTCTTCAGCCTTTCTTTTCTGTCACATTACACAATACAACTGCTTTATGCTGACTATCTGCCCTTTCTTCCTCTTTCTTAGGCTTATCTCAATAGGTCCTGTCTCAGAGTCACTGAAAAGAAGAAAGAGAAGCTGAATATATCTGACAGCTATTTCTATCAGATAAACTAAAGTTCAAATGACTGGAACTCTTTTGCCTTTCAAAGGCCTTCAGTCCCCTGATGTTTTCTCATGCAAGATAGACCTTTCTGAAAATGGGGGTTGCTGTCACTGTCTTTGTGCAGTGATGTGGGACCAATCCACCTTTGATTTGCCAACTTTACTGAAGGATAAATACTTATACAGTGGGCAAGGGGGTATGGCATCACTCAAAGGAAAGTATAATATTATTGACTGCTTTTCTAACTGCCCATCTAGATAAGTTTTAATCTTATTGACTGATATCAACCTCCAATACTGTTTAAGCCAGGTTATTCTCTGTTCCTACAGTACCAAATTGGCACACAGAATGTTTCCTGTTTGAGGGGGTCACCTCAATGATCTTTCAGATTAAGGTGAATATATTGGTTTGAGCTGATTTGGGATAAAAAAATACCCTTAAATGGAAACATTTTCTAGCCTATTCAGCCAAAAAGAAAGCACACAGAACAATGTGATATTTTTGACATTAATTGGCTTGGCTGAGGCAGACAGGGAAGGTCTTTAAAGTGACCTCCAGGAAGCACATGATGTCTCAGAATAAGAGATGCACCCTAGGTATGTTCAATCCTCTCCTATCCACTGCAGATGAAGTTTCCTGTGCACAACTACATTGAGCAGCAGGACATTTTAGCCCCACTTCACTGCAACTGCTGTTTAACAAGAAGTGGGCCTGAGTCTCTTGCTGTTGAACTCCATTAAAGTAGAGCTTTGCCCTGTTAAACTTAATTGTAGTTTGAGTCTGAAACAAACCCCAAGAACAAAAGTTATAGTTTTGGCTAATTACTCTGGCTACTACAGTGGTTATAAACTTTATTAGTGTGATTATGACCTATAAAAGTCACATTAACTTTTTAATGTGCCAGGGGTTGCCACTGTAATATCTGATAGGCTTAGCTGAAGGCTTATTTCCTGCTCTTTATGCTTCAGAAACAGACTTTTACAAACCAAATTATATCTTCTCTGTAATTAGTACGTTCCATAATAGAATCTTTATATCATTATTTCTAGAAGGTAAAGCTATACTCCTATTTTAAAAGCTTCTCTACCTGCCCTAAAAGATCTTGTCTTCTTTTTTTCTTCCTTTTTTTTTTCCTTTTTATTTGTAGTTCCAGATCTTGAGTACCAGTTTGGGATATGATGAAGGCTGCTCAAGAAGCTGCCTTACTGGGTAAAGAGTCAAAGTTTTTAAGAGATAAAAGGTTAATTCCTGTCGTAGGACAGGCTCAGAGTCAGAAAAGTCTGCAGTGGATTCATACATTTATTTCATGGTCCAGTGACAATGATGTGTTCAGGAGCAAACCTGCACATCATTGGTGAGAACTCTTGGAAAAGCTTATGAATAAAGATACACTTAGCTCTAGTTACAGCAACTTCATCAGCTGTGAGCAGATACAGAAGGTCCCTTAGACAACGAGCAAATTAACACTAAGACCCCCTGTTTCTTCCACAGACACAAACAAAACGTGTAACTGTTTCTTTCCTTAGATTCAGCACTGGACTTTCTAATAGAAGAAGCCTCAAAGATATTTGCTGGCAGGTATTTATTTACCTGCTCTCCCCTCAGAAGCTCCAGGTGCCTGGCAATGTGTGCACACAGCCCTGAAAACCGTCTGCATCCTGGGCTGCAGAGCCGGGCCCAGCAGGTCAAAGGAGAGCAATCTGCCCCTCTGTTCTGCTCTTGTGAAATCCCACCTGGATCTGCTGTATCCAGTTCTGGGCTCTCCAGCACAAGAAAGGCATCGACGTGTTGGAACAAATCCAGATGAGGACACAGAGATGATCGGAGGGATGGAGTACCTCTGCTGTGGAGACAGGATGGGAAAGGTTGCTCAGCCTGGAGAAGAAAGGCTCTGGGGAGTTCTCACAACACCTTCCTGTACCTAAAGGAGCCACAAGAGAGCTGCAGGGCACTTTTTAAAGAGCATGGAGTGACAGGATGAGGGAAAGTGGCTTTAAAGTGAAGTAGATTTAGATTAGCTATTGGTAAGAAATTCTTCACTCAAAGGAAGGTGAGGCCCTGGCACAGGTTGTGCAGAGGATCTGTGGATGCCTCATTCCTGGAAGCCTTCAAGGCCAGGCTGGATGGATCCTTGAGCAGCCTGGTCCAGTGGAAGGTGTCCCTGTACACCACAAGGAGGTTGGAACTGGATGATCTTCAGGTTCCCTTTTAAACCAAGCTATTTTATGATTCTAAGAAATACCAGATCATTTAAAAAATATTAGTCTTAAATTTAATGTTTAAAATGTTTTTGAACATTTCTGAAAATACCTGTACAGAAATATAACCATTTAAGTACCTAGTTGAATCACAACAAGTCAAAGTGATTAGGAGAAGTGAACATCAATTTATCAACAATTTTACATCATAATTTACCAGTATGATAAGCAAAATTGTCCAAGGAAATAGTAATTTTAAAAACTCCCACTAGTAAGGACAATTTTAGATTGGTTGAAATGAAAGTTTCCTAAAGACAAGGTTTCCAGTTTCCGGTGTGATTTTTTTTTAACTTTAAATTTTATTTTGCTAGTAGAAAATAGTTACACATGAAACAAAGCTGAAATCAGGAAAAAAAATAATTATATGATTATCTCAATTCAAAGCTTCTGCTTTTTTATATTTTAGACACATCTATAAGGGGTTTTGCCTCAGTGTGTGTTTTTAACCGAGCATTTTTCATAGTCCACAAAACTACTTCCAGTCCTCCTTATACATGTTGAAGATAATATTGCCATCCCCTTTTTGTTGCATGGATTTGACTGGTTTTGTCAGTAGAGACAAAGTTAATATCTTCTTGCAATCAATGAGGAATGCTGACCATCTTAAAAGATGACTTCTTCATCAAGAAACTTTATTATTTGTAGATTTCTGCAATGTCATGAATTAGCATTCATATTTTAAAATCTATATATTCCTATATATTAACACTTTTCTGTTGTTCTGAAAGACATGAGCAGGAAATGGATCTAATTTTAACTTGGTCAAGTTTATCAGTGCATGGAAGATTATTCTGAGGAATAAGTTTACCTCCATAGCTGAAGAAAAGAGCTTTTATAAAAGCTTCTGATCAAGACCAAAAAGATAAAATTTTAAGGCCTACACTTTCTCCTTCTTTAAAATTTGTAATTTTTAAAAAATTATGATTTTTACTAAAAATTTATATTACTTTTTGTAATACCTACATCCATTAACTCACTGATTAAATATAATTTATGGGGAGTGTAGTAATTGTTTTGGATCTTCTCCTCTTATTCTTGAGTGGAAGTAAAATAAGGTGGATGAAACCAAAATAAAACATCTGATTTATGGTCCCTGTCAGATTTAGACACAGCATCTGAAGAGGTCATCTTTCAAGGTGTCTGCCAAGCCATTCCAACTGTCTTTGCCACATCAGAGCAGTATGTGCAGAGACCAAGTGTATGGATTAAACTTTGCAAACTGGGAAAACCCAAAAATATGCTAACTTTTGTTTGCGTTCTTTTTTTTGATGGAAAGGACAGCCCCAAATGCAAGACATTTCATTTTATTTCCTTTTCTTTCATTCTTCTTCACCTGCCTCTTTTTCACTTTATTTGTCTTCTTAAAGGAAATCTCAGATCATATTAATAAACAGATTTATCTACACAGATGAAAGCAAAATGTGCATTCTGGAAAATTGCACCATTCCTCTTCAGGAGGATTCTGCATTTTGTTCAGCTATGTGAGCTGCTGTTAGAGTTCATTTTCCCACATCATATCCTGCTACATGATTACAGAAATATGTCAAACATGTCAAAAGAAACCATTAGCTTTTCAATTTTTAAATGGCTTCTTCTTGATGAACTTGGTGGTCTTTTCCAAGCTAAAAGACTCTATGATTCTACAATCTCTCTTTCATCAAATTTTTTTTCTTGTTTGCTGCCTTGAAAATTTAAGAGGAGGTTGGTGTTTCCCACTCCTTAAGCATATCACTGGCTGGCTCATGGCACATCCCTGATGGGAAATAGGGTGGATAATTTATATGGGCATTTTGAGCAGATAGGACTGCTGCTGTACCCAGCACGAGGGAAGGAGCAAGGAGAACAAGAGAGGAAACAGTCAATGTCTAGCAGAGACAAGCTGAAATTAGTCTGTAAAAAGACAGCTTAATGCAATAGCAGAGGCCTTCCTGATAGCACATTAGAGGGCTGTTAAACTAATCTTTCTCTCATTAGTTCATTCTCTGTGGTTTGACACATAACTTAAGACCCCACGAGTTAAACAGGCTGAAGCAACAACGGAGTCCTGCCATGTACAGTTATTTCCCTCTGCATGGAGCAATTAGGAAACACTAATGAGCATCCCAGGAGGATCCCCTGAAGAACCTCACTGCTGAATGTCATATGAACAGCAGCAAAGAACAGTGGGAAATGATGCTTAGAAATGTTTATAAACTTGATTGTGCCTTGCTGCTAGTTTAACCTATAACTGCAGTGCAGTAAGCCCTGCCAGGTCCTGACTTCCCTGAAGAAGCAAGACCCAGTATAAATCTGGATAAAAAAGAAAGTTTGGATGAACTATTATGCCTCATCCTGCTTGTGGGAGTAACAATAAAGCAAAGGGAAATTGAATCAGGGATTTGGGCAATAATCTACCCAATCTTGTATACATTAGTGAAATCAAGGCTGGATCCTAAGAGGTATAAAAAAGTGAAGCTGATGGGCAGTTGGTTGAGGTTAGGCTAGTGT